GAAAACGACCAACACCTCCAGCGCCCCCAGGTATATATATCCTTCGTTTTGGAGGGGGCTCGGAGCGAGCAGCGGCCCAGGCGGAGAAGGCTGCTGTTGGGGTGGCCACCTCTCGCGTGGGTCGCGTAGAGGTCGCGACTGGTGGGTTGGCGGCGTCCTTGTCGCGAACGGGTCGGGTCGACGAGGCAGTGGTCGGAGTAGATATGCGCTCGCGACTAGGGCGTTTGGAGATGGTAGAAGGCGCTGACACGGCGTCGTCGTCGAGGCCGAGGAGAGCAGTCGAGGACACAGATGGTGGCGCTGGTCTGGTCCTCTTGCGGCTCGCAGCCGGTCGACGAGGGGTCGCAGGCTTGGACGCCATGTCGTCAGCTTCGGTATCTGCACTTCTTTCGGTCTTTCGAGTCATCGAGATGATCGGAATTGTCAATCACCGCGTCGTGGGTGGAGGCGCGGAGACTCGTGATGCGGCTTGAGGGAGGTGGGGGGGCATTTGCGTGGATGCGCAGAAGCGCGTTCGCCCGGGTCACAACCAAAGCTTTGAACGGCGTGATAGGTCTACAAGCTCTCGACGAATGCCTCTGGGTATTGTAGGGATCTGGCCGGACTCAAACTGCAGGTGGTAGAGTCTCCTCACGAAAACATAGTCAACGCGTGAAGTTGGAACGCACGGACCTGGTTGCCCCCTTAATCGCAAGCGCACCTCGCGCACCTACCAGCTTGGCCTTGTCTGTGTGCCCACTTCACCCAGGCCAGAGGCCAAAGGTGGGCCATGCCGGAACGTCAAGGTGGGTGCCGCCCCACACTCCAGCGTGAGGCAGGGGGAGGGGGAGGGGGGCTTTGGGGGCTCTGCCCGTCGCGGCTTAGTCATTCCTCTTGACATGTCGAGCAGAGTCGACATGGCCTGTTCGTTGCACATCGAACAGTACCAAACATGCGATGATTGTGAGTGCCATTTGGAACAGCTCCATTCTTTCCTTTTGGCGCTCGTGGCATTTTCTTCCACCGGCATTCAATTGCAAGCTGGCAATATCTTGCCTCATGGTGACCCCAAATTGACGAACACGCATCGCGTTGCGGCACATGCCCTCGACGAGGTGGCAAAAGAAAAACAAAGAGCATCCTTTGAAGCCAACAGCAAAAAACCAGAACTCAACCAGTGAGGAGCAAGACATCTTTGGTAGGAGAAGTAAACATGTCTTTGAGGTTCTAATTCTCGTAGGGCTGCTCATTGGCCTACGTAGTCCGACCTCGCTCTCTGCAACACCACTAGCAATGACAGCAGATACATGTTCTAGCCGCCAAATCGTCCAAACACCAGGGCCCGGGGGGGAAGCAGCCAATCAGGCCGTGAGCGCAAACCCATGGCTGTCCCTAACCTCAATGACATGCCTCCCAATGCGGAGCTCGTTTGACGCCAGGCTGCCAAGGGGGAAGAGATATTCTTTATTGATTCAATTTACCCCAGGTTTCCACAACTGTCGATCCCGTCACCTTACTCAAGTCCGTGTCACTCTGCGACAAGAGGCAAAGCTTACCCCGGTCCTTGTCCCCTCCTGCCGAGCAGCCATTTGAGCCGCCTACTGGCGACCACAGGAGTGTAGACGACCTGTTCCATTCAAGACAAGACAAGGATGCCATCATTAGTTTACCTGGCGCAGTCCCGGTGGCAGCCGCCCATTCTTCAACAAAGTTAAATCAGGTGTAGCATAGAAATTCATGTGTTGAAAAGTGGAATGCGTGTCTCTCATGTATTAGAACCAAACACCAGCTCATCTTGACCTGCGGTCCGCCCCTATCTGCATGCAATAGTGCCTTCCACGCGAACAGATGCGTCTTTTTTCCCTTCTTCCATGCTAACAATGGACAAGAGCCACCAATGTGCGAAAAACTTCGCTCCTCTCACAAACGCCGTTGTCAAAGTGAAGTGATGTGAAAAATAGACCACAGCAGCATCCCGTCTGCGACATCCAGCAGCAGAACAAGACCTACAACCTGAATGAATCATGAAGCCATTGTCTCAACTTCATGTGTGTGGAAAAGTGGAAGAGAGGGCCAAAATTGAATTCGAAAAAGATCCACCCCGCCTTCGTCGCAAATGCCGATACGCTTATGGCTCTTCAAAA